GAAAGAGGAGCCTTGTCTGATTCACTGATGCATCTCTAGTGACTAGAAGACTGCTTGGCGCACAACAGCATTCAATAAACATCAGATGAATACCTTAAATGACTACGCATGATCCTGATTACATCCTTTCTGTAACTGCCAACATGCAGCGCGGAGTCCTGCATTAGTAAATTAAGAAGCACACATCTCGGTTAACGGTTGTCACACAGATGACCCAGCTTCTTTTATTAAGCATAAGTCAAGGGACAGAAAAAGAACTGACTTTTTTTTCTTCTCAGATGTCCAGCCACTAAGCTTACTTTTCTCAGGCTGGCTCAATTTACCTCTGTTAGTATTTAAATGTGCCTCTTTCCAATAAGCCTTCCTGTTTTAAGCACCAAAGTGGAAAATGTAAGGTCTGTAGAATCTATCACGAGATGTCAGATATAACAACGGCCGTAAGGTCTCTTTGCTCTTTACTATTTTTTTAAATTTAATTTAACTTATTTATTTATTTGACAGAGAGAGAGAGAGAGAGAGAGAACACAAGCAGGGGGAGCAGGAGAGGGAGAAGCAGGCTTCCTGTCAAGCACGGAGCCCCATGCAGGACTCGATACCAGGACCCCAGGATCATGACCTGAGCCAAAGGCAGATGCCTAACTGACTGAGCCACCCAGGCTCCCCAGCTCTTTACTATTTTCTATTATGAAAGCAGAATGGAGTTCGATGAAAGTCCACATACTACTTGAGTTAGTAGTAACTTGTTTTTGATAAAACTATGTTCCACAAAACAGAGTACCCAAATTTAATCAAACTCAATTTTACTTATTAGTTAAGAAGGAGGATGGACTTGGCAAACTTTGGGATCTCCAACCTACATATGCTAATCAACTGCCAACCACTTTAAGAAAGACTAACTATAGCAGAAATGCTTTCTTGCCTGCAGAATGTGGCAACCTCCTTGCTGGCCAAGTGCTCCTAAGAGGGCAGTTTTGTATGTTCTCTTTTTATAGAAGTCTTCTTTAGACATTCACAGCAACAAATTTTAAGTTGACCAGGTCACATTTTTAAAGAGTGGTATCTCCTTACCCACTAGTGCTGTAATTTCCAACATACTAGCCCAGGCATGTTTAAACATGTTTAAACCAACATGTTTTAATGCCATTTTGCTCAGGAAGAACTGACGTTTCAGATTAGTACACTGCAATTTTGAGTGACAATAATAAACATGTTAAAAAGTATTAGTTCTGGGAGGCCATTTCGATGATCCTTTGAGAGGGTGAGGTCCCTCACCAATTACAGCAACCTGGCTCTTATCTATTATCTTTGTATAGTTTTTTTTTTTTTTTTAGAAGACTTTATTTATTTATTTGACAGAGAGATCACAAGTAGGCAGAGAGGCAGGCAGAGAGAGGGGGGAAGCAGACTTCCCGCTGAGCAGAGAGCCCGATGTTGGGGCTCAATCCCTGGACCCTGAGGCCATGACCTGAGCCTAAGGCAGGGGCTTAACCCACTGAGCCACCCAGGCGCCCCTGTATAGTTTGTTTTTAAGTACCCCCTCAGAAGGGTTCCTTTTGAGAAGTTCTCCTCTACGGAAAGTCTGGAAACTAATGGACCCAATAACTAATCTGAGGGTTCCCCTTTACAAATCAAAGACCATAATAACTGGGATTGCGTAGTGATTGAGGGACACATTTTTTAATCAAGAATTACTCTGCAAGGAGCATAAAATGAAAAAATGAGACTGAAAAAAAAGAACTATAGGAGACTGCTGACTGGGTAATAACCAAAAACATAACATGAGATTATTTTAAAACTTTGGATTTGAACTTGTTTTATAATGCACATGTGTATTACATGGCTGCTTGTTTTTTTTCTAAGGGGTGAATCTGGTTTCAAAACATAGATAAAATGGATTGTAGTTTGAGGATTTACTATAATAAAATCAGTGTTTAGTCAGACTTCAATTTTCAGCCTTAAAACATTTCCCTTGTTCCAGGGGAGAAAAGTCAACAAGTTAATTTTTAATAAGACTGTGTTTAAAACTTCACGATTAAAGGGACAGCTTTCCAGTACTGCACTTATTTTTGTATAGTTTACTAGATTTTGGATGAGGCATGTGAAAAATCGACAGGAATGAATTTTTGTCAGTCTCAGGTAAGATTTTAAAAATATAGTGCTGAGGGATATTTATGCTCTTACACGATAAATTTTATAGTAGTTTATACAGTTTAAATATAACTGAATCTAATAGGATTCTTCTAAAGTGTGAAGAGTGAATAAAATAGTAAAAAATGGGCTTATAATACTAATGCAATATTTTCATGTGACTATGATGCTTACTTAACTTTGACAGAAAGTTAAATCAAATTTTATAAGACCTGGAGGGATCATAAACAGTTAAAAGTGAATTATTCAGTTTTAATAACATATGAAATGTTTGAAAAGCCTAGTAGAGTTATCCTTTTGTTCTTACCGCTGAGAGTAAAACAAAAAGAATCAATGGCATCTTAAAGAAAATTACCTTCTACTTAAGATCTCACACATTCATTATGGATGATTTGTTTTAGTTAAAACTGACCACAATACTGCAAACAAGGCTTTGGATAGGTAACAGCTATAATTATGCAAATATTAAATAACTGCTTTTGATAAGAACCTCTTCAGCATTGAAGCAATTCACCTCACAGAATACTCAAGGGCTGCTTTTTCATGCCTTAATGCACACAATGAATGGGAGCGCTAGGAAAATCTAGTATTTTTCTAAAAAGATAATTTTTAAAAATTAAAAATAACAATTTTTGTATAGGTAACACACAGCATTTGGTAAAAAAAAAAATCAAGGGTTACAAATGGGGGTGCAGTGAAATAGAATTCTTCCCTTCACTCTGGTCTCTATCTCCCAGATTTGCTTCTCACCATCAACTTTCATTAATTTCTTGAATCTTTCTAGACCAAGTCCCCATATTTACAAGCACACACACACACAAACTTTAGAAGACTTAAAAATAGCTTGTTTCATCTCTAGCAAGCCTACAGCAACTTAGTTTGAGCTGTAAAAATGCTCCAGCATGTAAAACAATTATAGGTTTTAGTGTACACTAAAAAGCAAAGCCAAATACTACATTGTTTTCACTGTCAGCTCAGGCATCACCACAGCATTCTTTCCTGAAAGGCGCAACAACTAAATGCTTCACCACAGTGACCAGAGAGGGCAGTATGTACCAATGACAAAAGTACAGGCAGAAAAGCTGCAAATACCTTCAGGATTCAGGAGGACCAGCAATTCTGTCCTATCCGGCTCAGTTCCCATAAAGTTCCGCAGGTAGAGCTGTGTTTGACAGGGCTAACTTATTTCTCCTTAGGGGGCTGCCCAGATGGAGTGTCATGATGTCGATAACCGTAAAGCAATCAAGACAACGAAACAAATCTGGATAATGAACACTAACCGAAAACCTACGGTGCATATAGAATTTATTTTGGAAGAATAAAACAATCTAATTTCCAAGGAATGGCTACACAAATTAGGATTTACAGATAGGAAAACTATACTAAATTATCAGAGTTTTAAATTTTTTTTTAAAGATTTTATTTGACAGAGAGCGACACAGCGAATGAGGGAACACAAGCGGGGGAGTGGGAGAGGGAGAAGCAGGCTCCCCGCCGAGCAAGGGGCCCGATGTGGGGCTCGATCCCAGGGCCCTGGGATCATGCATGACCTAAGCCGAGGGCAGACGCTTAACGACTGAGCCACCCAGTCGCCCCCAGAATTTTAAATTTTAATTTAGTGAAGGGATCAGTAAGAATTCATGGAGTGATATGAAATATTCACTAGGTAGAAAGTCCTGGTATAAGTCTCTAAGTATACAATTGGGGAAACATTTGAAATTAAACTGCTGAAGTCTCAGTTATGCATTTAGGAAAATCTGGAAAGCAGGCAATTGTCCAGTTAAAATTAAAAGCAAAATTATACTGAATTTTCTAATAAATCTGAAAAAAGTGTTAATTTGGAATGGGAAAAACCACTCAACATTTGTCACTGTACAAATATCAGGATACAATAAGCTATATGTGACACTGCTAATACAATACCTTAACTCCTTACCCAATATAAAAAAGAGGATATTTCATAGCATTGTCAACATACAGCTATTCAGTTTTCAATTTAAATCAGTGGGGGAAAAGGGAAGCCGTTTTTTGGTGGTGATGCTGTTCCTTTGACGACTGAAAAAAGGAATTAATTCAGTCCGAGTTTCGGAAGCAACTTTGTATCACAACCTTAATTATCCATGCATAAAAATTTCAATGTAAATTAACACCTCCAGGAAAATGCAAAGCAGCTCTAGAGTGTTTGGGAGCTTTGAACGCTTGGCAAGCCCACGGTTTTAATTCCCGGTGCCACAAATCAAAAAGAACAAGACACCAGCGGCACCGTATTCCGAGGTCCCGGGAAGCGCCGGGGCGCGGCCGCGAGCAGCGGGCTCTGAGCCGGGCCGAGCCAGGTCTCGGCGCCCGCAGTGGTGCCGCAGCCTCCGCGGCCGCAGCAGGTGGGACCCGGACCCGCTCGCAGGCCGTTCCGCCACCGGCCACCCGCCACCCGCTAGCGCGGGGCTTGTCGAGAGCGGCTCAGCGACGCCTCGGCCGGGGCTTTTATTGTTTGCGTGGAATGACTTTGTCACTGAATGCTGAAAAAGACCGGCCTTAGCCCCAGTTACACGGACCCCACAACTTTGCGAAGCGATGCGCGGAACTGAAACGAAGAGGCGCGAGGACACGGCTCGGAGGGCCCCGCCGGGCCGCTGCTTCCCATTCTACCGCGCGTTCCCACCAGCGCCCCGCGGAGCCTGCCCACACGCAGAGGGCTGGGGGAGAGGCGCTCCGCGAGCAAGTCGATCCGGCTGGGCGCGAGAGCTCCGAGGTCCGCGCGGACCAGACAAAGAGGCGCGTCGGGCGCCCGGGAGGGACGCGAAGACGCCGGCCTCCGCCCGCAGGGGGCGCCGTCCGCGGCCCCCGGCGCTTACCTTTGAGGACCGCGCAGAGCTGCTCCAGGGCCATGTTCCCGAGCGGCCCGGCGCTTCGTGAGGGGCCGAGGTGGCGGCGGCGAGGAGGCGGCGGCGGCGCGGCGCGGCGCTCACGGCCCGGCGCGGCGGCAGTCCCGCTCGTCCCCCATCGCCCGCCACCAGGCTGCCTCTCCCCGCGGGGCAGGGCTCAGGTCCTGCAGCGCGCCATGCTCGAGTCCCCCGGCGGGCTCCCGCGCTGCCCGAGCCCCCCGACGGGCGCCGCCTCTTGTTCCGCGGCGCTCTGTCCCATCGACTGCCCCGGAGCCGAGGCGCGCTGGCGCGAGGGACGGCACCCGCACGGGCCGCTCCTCCCGCGGCCGCGGCGCGAGCCCCTCTGAAGTGGCGGGCGCGGGCAGCCCAGGCTCATTTAAGCAGGGAGCGCGAGCGCCGCGTGCCGGCCGCGCCGCCTGCGCGCTTGTGCCCGCCCCCCGCCCCCCATCTCCGTCCCCGCCCCCGTCCCCGCCCGCGTGCCCCTCGCACTCTCCCCGCCAATCGCCAGGCCCGCCCGCGGCCTCGCACCCTGGGAGGGCAGCGCGCCCGCGACCGTTTGGCTGGGGGCAGGGCGACGAGGTGCTGGGCGCCGCGGTCCCGACCCCTTCGGCAGCGAACCGCGGCTCCGAGAGGCGGGGGCTGGGGGAGAGCCCGGCCCATCCCCCGCCGCTGCTGGGCCTCCGGGGTCCCGGGGTGAGCCCTCGAGGCCTCCTGCCCGAGGGAGGAGGTGGGGAGCCCGCCGCCCACCCCGAGCCCCGCAGCCCTTGTCCATCTCCGTCCGTCTTCGCAGATGGACTGGGCACCGACCCCTCGGCCTCTTAGGACCTCAGTTCAAGGTCAAAACTCTGCCCCGCTAGCCCCAGCTTGATAACCTGCCTGGGGCATGAGGCGAGGATCTGGGCTGGGGCTCAGGGACAGAGGGCGCCTGAGGTTCTCTCACCTCCGCTTGGCGTCAGGTGAGTTAACCTGACGGCCGGCCGTGATGATCACTGACATTTCTAAAAGGCTTCCTAGGTTGCCAGCGCAGTACCAAGTACTTTGCTTATCAACTTTTTAAAAATCCTCAACCCATCTTATGCAGTAGGTGCTGTTAGAGGATGGGGATAATGAGGCCAGAAAGGTTAAGTAATTTGTCCAGAGCCACACAGCGGGGGAAGAAGGTAGGGTTGTGAACCCAGGAATTCTGCCGCCAGAGATCGCAATATTGTCCACTAAGTCATGCTGATGGGTAGCTTGACTTGGCTGATTAAAACAAAACAAAACAAGGGGGGGCCTGGGTGGCTCAGTGGGTTAAAGCCTCTGCCTTCAGCTCAGATCATGGTCCCAGGGTCCTGGCATCAAGCCCTACATCGGGCTCTCTGCTCGGCAGGGAGCCTGCTTCCCTTCCTCTCTCTCTGTGCCTGCCTCTCTGCCTACTTGTGATCTCTGCCAAATAAATAAATAAAATCTTTAAAAACAAAACAAAACAAAAAACAACAAAAAGCCAAATTGGCAAACTGCATAATATTATCCTTTTTTAATTTTCTCCATAGTAATTATCACGCTCTGAAATCACCTAGCTTATCTACTTATTTATTCATCACCTATAGCCTATTTACCCCTACACTGCTAAAATATGAGCTGCTTGAGAGCAGGAGGCTACATTCATATAGTCACTCAACACGTACTTGTTGAGTGTTAACTATGTGCAGAGAACAATAATAGGTACCTAGCGAATTAAGGCTGTGATTAAGGCTCTACCATAATAGAATATTTGTGCCTGTATCTGACACATAGTAGGAACAATAGAAATACTTGTTAACAAATTACAGTTAAGGACAAAGATAGGCAACTGAAAAAACTCTTCCAGGGATGTCAACCTCTTCTCTCTTTCCTTCTGTCCCTCAAAGAAAGGCACAAAAGTATTCACAAGGTTTTCAAGTGAAAACATTTTTAACACCAGTTAATAGCGAGATATTTAGCCCTTTATCATGTGCTATGGACAGTATAAAAGATGTGTATGTGTTGGTTCCCAAGACAAATCACCTACAAACCCAAGTAACTTGTGAGATTGCACAGAAGAACCAACTAGTAAATAAAACATTTGAGATCCTTTTCCACAAATATAAAGCGACATATTGGAAGACTTGGACAGTAGTAAGAGTTTTAAAGGTAAGTCACAGACAAGGTGGACAAAAACAATTAGGAAGAAAGAGCCCTCTCAACTTCTGGAACAGAATAGGTTCTTAATGCAAAGTTGTTGACTGAAGGAAGAATTGGTGGCTGTGATGTCATCAGAGAGTGCTTCATGGAGGAGGTGACCCACAAAGAATGGAAAGGCTATGGATGGCAAATGGAGGAGAAGGCAGAAGAGCTTTCAAGTCAGGCGAGGAACAAGGGTTAGCATTGCATTTGGGGCAAGTTTTGAGTCTGGCAGTAAAGCTAGAATAGAATATGGTGGGCTTTGATTATGGAGAGTCTTACTTAAATGATAGGCAGAGGGGTTTGTGTTTGATTCAGGTGGCCAGAGGCACAATTTTTAATAGTGGAGTTATGGAGCTCTGGAAAAACTAATCTGTCAGTTCAGTTGAGGATATAGTGAAAGGCGGGAGGGGACTAGAGCAATTGTAGTAATTTAAAAAGTATATACACAGGACTGTTCTTTCCTTTCTGGTAGAACCATTTTGATGAAACCTAAAAAGGTTTTTAATCCTCTAGGATATTGGCTGGGATATAGATTCCCAGGGAATAGATTGGGAATGCTCAATTTTGGCTCTCTTTTAAAACACCTATCTTTTGGCTGTGTTAATGTAATTGTCTATAGTAGATTTTTCAAGGAATGTGATAAAGCACAGATCATAGCTGGGACTACTGTGTGGCCATATGTTAACTAAATCAAAAGGAAAGCACTTTGAATATCTCTCTGTTGGAGAGTTTTGTATTTGAATGATTATTTCCCTGCAAGACCACCCAGTAACACTCAAGCCTGTTCCCAGGTTACCTGCCAGTTCCCAGGTAATTGGGGACTTTGTTTTCATTGCATGGTTTTAGCCTCTCCCAGGTCTTCGGAGAATCATTCCTATAGTTTAAATTTGCTTTTCTCCGGGCGCCTGGGTGACTCAGTGGGTTAAGCCTCAGCCTTCGGCTCAGATCATGATCTCAGGGTCCTGGGATTGAGCCCCACATTGGGCTCTCTGCTTGGCAGGGAGCCTCCTTCCTCCTCTCTTTCTCTGCCTGCTTCTCTGCCTACTTGTGATCTCTGTCAAATAAATAAATAAAAATCTTAATAAAAATAAAGAAATTTGCTTTTCTCTGACCAAATCCCCTGTAGCACTTGAATGGTATGTATCATTGACATACTATGAAAATGAATCATTTTAAAAATACAGCATTTTATCTCAGTGTTTGTATACTGAACAGCTTTTTGTTGTCTCTCTTTTCCACTAGAGGTAGGGAGCTCTGACATTTTATTAAATGATAGCCTACGAAGGCAGGTTGTTATGTTTAGAGGTTTTTATGGACTGAATGTTTGTTTTGCTTAGAATTCTTATGTTGAAGTCCTAACCTCCAGGACTGTATTTGGAGATGGGACCTCTAAGGTTAAATGAGGGTTGGGTCCTGATCTGATGGGATTAGTGTCTTTATAAGAAGAGAGACCAGACAGAGTGCCCCCTCTCCTTGACACTCCAGCACAGAGGAAATGCCCTGTGTGGACAGTGTGAGAAGGTAGTGTTCAGCTAGCCCAGAAGAGTTCTCACCAGAAACCAGAGTGGCTGGAGCCTTGATATGGGACTTCCAGTCTCCAGAGCTGTGAGAAAATACATGCTGCTTAAGTCCCTCAGTCTATGGCATTTTGTTATGGAAGTCAGAGTAGACCCATACGGAGCTATGATTAAGGAAGACAGAGGAATTTACACATAACCACGCTGATGTACAGAAAATCTATTTTGTACTGAAGTAACGTAGGGGTCTCACGTTGCTTTTCTTACAGTGTGTGGCTATGGCAACTATGATGGCAACATTTAATGAAAAGTGATATCGTATAGATTTGTTATTATGCAACTGTAGTGTTTTATAGGGAAAGAAAAGAGGAAACTAAAAAAAAAAAATTTTAACTCCTATTCGTCTGCTTGGGCTACCGTAACAAAATACCACAGACTGGGGGGTCTTAAACAATAGAAATGTATTTTCTCTTAGTTTTGGAGTCTGGAAGTCCAAGATCAAGGTGCACATAGGCTTGGTTTCTGGTGAGATTTCTCTTCCTGTCCTGTAGACTGCAGACTTCTTGCTATGTCTTCACCTGGTCCTTCCTTTGTGCCCTGCAAACTTCATGTCTGTTCCTCTTAGAAGGACACCACTCAGATTGCATTAAGATCCCACCCTTAGGACCTATTTGTCCTTAATTACATCCTCAAAAGCCCAGTCTCCACATACCCTCACATTGAGGGCTAGTGCTTCAGTATATGAATATAGGGGTAGCGGACACAATTCAGTCCCTATACGCACACACTCCTGAATCAAAATTACTCATTAAAAAAATCATTGTTAATGATTTTGAAGAAGATCTGCTTCCAGTGAGTTGAAACCAGTTCTTTCAGTAACACTGTCACCGATACTTATTTCCATTTTTCTGCTTAGTGGAATTCCAAAGCAAGAAGGTTTTTAAGAAATACTGCCTACTACCAGTACTCAAAGTATTATGTACGTACTTTAGTATAAAATACTAAAGTATTTCAACTTTATCAGGAGAATTTCTGATCATCCAGGTACTTTCATTTGATTGTGAAAAAATAAGGTCCTAATGATACTTCTTAGAATAACACTGCTAACAAACATGGTATCATTTTCCCTTCTGCCTTCCTTTGTTCGTCCCTCCCTCCCTCTCTTTCTCTTTCTTTCTTCCTTCCTTTCTTTCTTTCTTTGAGGGGAAGAGGGGTAGAGGGAAAAGAAGAAAGTCTTAATCACTCTCCATTCAGAGCTTGATCTCATGACTCTGAAATCATGACCTGCCTGAACCCAAATCCAAGACTCAGCACTTAACGGACTGAGCCACCCAGGCATCCCTGGTATCATTTTCTTAAAAGCCAAAA